AAATAAAATAAAATAAAATACAGGTCAGGCTGGGTGTGGGAGCTCACACCTGTAATCCCAACACTTTGGGAGGCCAAGACAGGCAGATCACCTGAGGTCAAGACCAGCCTGGCCAACATGGTAAAATGCTGTCTCTACAAAAATACAAAAATTAGCTGGGCATGATGGCGGGTGCCTGTAATACCAGCTACCCAAGACGCTGAGGCAGGAGAATCACTTGAACCTGGGAGGCAGAGGCTGCAGTGAGCTGAGACCACACCACTGCACTCCAGCCTGGGCGACAGAGCAAGACTCCATCTCAAAAATAAAAAATAAAAAAAATAAAAACAGGTTAGGTGTGGTGGCTCATACCTATAATCCTATCACTTTGGGAGACTAAGACAGAAGGATTGCTCAAGCCCAGGAGTTCAAGACCAGCCTGGGCAAAACACATACATACTGGGCTGTACCTGTAGTCCCAGATAGTCAGGAAGCTGAGGCAGGAGGATCACATGAGCCCTGGAGTTCAAGGCCAGCCAGGGCAACACAGCAAAACCTCTCTCTACAACAACATTTTTGGGTGTGTGACCAAAAAAATTAGTATTCCTGACCCCTTGCTCCTGGGGAATTGATCTTGTAGAGGCTGGATGAGCAGAAAAGGTAGACAGGCACAGATCAAAACAGTGGATGGGCCAGGTGTGGTGGCTCATGCCTGTAACCCCAGCACTTTGGGAGGCTGAGGCGGGCAGATCACCCAAAGTAAGGAGTTCAAGACCACCCTGGCCAACATGGTGAAACTCCATCCCTACTAAAAATATAAAAATTAGCCAGGTGTGGTGACCCGGGCCTGCAGTCCCAGCTACTTGGGAAGCTGAAGCAGGAGAATAGATTGAACCTGGGAGACGGAGGTTGCAATGAGCCAAGATCATGCCATCGCACCCCAGCCTAGGTGACAAGAACAAAACTCTTTGTCTCAAAAAGACAAAAAAAAATTAGCCAGGCATGGTGGCACACACCATAATCCCAGCTACTCAGGAGACTGAGGCACAAGAATGCTTGTACCCAGGAGATGTAGGTTGCAGAGAACCAAGATCACGCCACTGCACTCCAGCCTGGGCAACAGAGGGAGACTCTGTCTCAGAAAAAAAACAATGGATGGGACCTGCTCTAAGCTGGGCTTTATGGTAGTTGAGAGGTGGGGTCAACCGACCAGACAGGTGACATATTTGGATGGCCTGGGGGAGAAGCCCCAGGGATGGCCAAGCAGGGGGATGGACCACAGGAAGGATAGGTACCTATCGTCCGAACTGTGCCTCCTTATCCATGGAGCATACAGAAAGCTTTAGAAACCCATCCATAGAAATTAAAGCACCAGTACAAGGATTTGATGTACAAGAATGTTTATTGCAGCATTGTTTGAAGTAGTAAAAAACAAACCTAGAAATAACCTGAATTTCTGAAACTAGGAGGTGTGCTGAATAATGTATCCATTCTAAGGATACTAGTATATAGCTATAAAAAATAAGTTACATATAAATGGAGTGATCTGAACAGATGTCTATGAAAAAATGTGAAGTGAAAAGTCTGTTATTTTAATATATTACAGTATGATCCAGTGTTTGAAAGAATCTTATATGCACATATAAAATATATACACATATATCTCTGAACATGTTTGTATAACCATCAAAAAGGAAAGAGGGCTGGGCGCGGTGGCTCAAGCCTGTAATCCCAGCACTTTGGGAGGCCGAGGCGGGTGGATCACGAGGTCAGGAGATCGAGACTATCCTGGCTAACATGGTGAAACCCCGTCTCTACTAAAAATACAAAAAACTAGCCGGGCGTGGTGGCGGGCACCTGTAGTCTCAGCTACTTGGGAGG